AACTCCCTCTGCTCAATCTGGTTTCCCTTACTTCCTCATAGGGCTTATTCCGGAGCATACTCCCTAAATTTAAACCTCTCACATAAATCTCTATCTCAAAGTCTGTTTTTCTGGGAATCTTAACTAAGATAGTGGCTCTTTTACTGTGGCCAGAATAGAAGATAAGAGGGAAAAAAGTTACATAAAGCATTTTGTGGCAGAAAGCTTGATTCTCCTAGTTCTCCTGCCTTATAAACAAAATTTATATTTTTAAAGGGTATTAGATATGAATTATCTGTTTACTTCTCTAAGAGATTAAAAGCACATCATCTTGTATATTTATTATACATTACAAACCACTTCCTAATAAATTAATTACTTTACACTCTTAAAGCTGTTTGGTCCCTATATAGCACTAATTACAATATAATTGTCCACTTTCTTGCTGGTCTTCCCTGCTTGGCTGTCTTGTCTTTGAATCTCTACCACCTCTCTGATATTGACCCCTTTGAGTATCTTCATGAACTCATGGGTTTGTTTTTTATTTAATGTGTTAGCCCTTTATAGTTCTTATTTTTGATGTATAAGTTGTTCTAACTCTGACCAGCAAGAGTCCCTTTGATCCAGCTCCTGTGTCCTCTTTAACATGACTGCATTAGTCTTTCAGTACTTCTTTGCATTCTGGCTTGTACAACGTGGCTGAGTTCACAAAAGAAGAAAGAAAATTCCCATGTGCCAGAATGAAAAGAAATCTGAAAGCCAAAGAAGAGTCTAACTATAGGCTGACACTGAGATAGCCCTGGAAGCTGTGAGGAAACCTGAAAATAGATCCTAATAGTTAGGGGCTTAGCGTTCTCACATATCAACAGGTGATAATGAGTCTCTGGACTTGGGTGTAGCAGGAGGTAGGATTGAGATCTGTTCTCTTTTACTATGAGTTGTTTTTTGTTTCTTTTTAGATTCCATATATAAGTGAGATCATATGGTATTTGTCTCTCTGTCTTACTTATTTCACTTGAGGGCATAATGTCCTCAAGGTCCATCCATGTTGTTGCAAATGGCAAGATTTCCTTTTTTATGGCTGAGTACTGTTCCATCGTGTGCGTGTGTGTGTGTGTATGTATAGATAGATGATAACTCATATGTATGTGTGTGTATATACATATATATTACATTTTATCAATTTATCCATTGATAGACATTTAGGTTGCTTCCATGTCTTGGCTACTGTAGATAACACTGCAGTGAATGGGGGTACATGTGTTTTCCAATTAGTGTTCTCATTTCCTTCAGATAAATACTCTGAAGTAAAATTGCTGGATCACATGGTAGTTCTATTTGTAATTTTTTTGAGGAGCCTTCATATTGTTTCCCATAGTGGCTGCACCAATTTACAATCCCACCACCAGTGTACAAGGGTTACCTTTCTCCATATTCTTGCCAATACTTGGTTATTTCTTATCTTTTTGATAATAGCCATCCTGACAGGTGTGAGGTGATATCTCATTGTGGTTTTGATTTGCATTTCCCTGATGTTGAACATCTTTTCATATGTCCATTGGCCATCTGCGTGTCTTCTTTGGAAATGTGTATTCAGATCCTCTGCCCATTTTTAGTGGATTGTTTGTTTTTATTCCACTGAGTTGTATGAGTTTACATGTTTATTCCATTGAGTTGTATGAGTTTATATGTTTATAGTATAGTAACTGTATAGTATTACAATTTTAACTGCAATTACCATTTAGAGATCAATTTGGGAAGCATCAACATGAGCATATATTTCTCCAATTGTTACTGAAACTCTTGCCAAAAATCACCAAAGTCATCTCCATTTTGCTAAATTCTACTGGAATTTTAACTGCAATTATAATGCAATCACACTCTCTTCAATGAAACACTTTTTTGACTTGGCTTCCAGGACTCTATACACAAGGGGTCAACAAACCTTTTCTGTAAGGGAGCCACATAGCAATTTTAGGCTGTGTAGATTAGTTTCTGTTACAATTACTCGACTCAGCCATTGTAATATGAAAGCAGCCATGGACAATATGTAAATGAATTAAGTGTGGTAGTGTTCTAATAAACATTTATCTATAGAAAAAGGTAGTGGGTCAGATTTGGTCCCTAACTAAACCTAATGCTATAGTTTGCTAACTTCTGCTCTACATTTTCCTTATTTTCATCCTACTTTACAAGAAATTTCTCTGTCCTTGTGCTTATTGTTCCTTCTCCTTAATCTCTTAAAACCGGTGTGCCCCAGGACTCAATTATTTTTTTCTTTATACATAACCAGTTTCTTGATTTCACCCAATGTCATGATTTTAAGTACTTTATACATATTAATGGCTCCCAAATATATATCTCCAGCTCAGACCACCTTCTGATCTACAGATGCTATATATCCAATGTCTTATCAACATCTCCCTTTGGATACCTAACAAGCCTTTTCTACACATGCCCAAAACTAAACTCGTTACCTTTTTCACAAACCTAGTCTAGTTTCACCATCACAATTGATGGCAACAATATCCTCCCAGTTGCTCAGGCCCAAACCCTTGGGAACCATGCCTGACTCCTTTTTTTTTTTTTGTCTCATCTTACATTTATTCCATCAGGAAATCCATGCTCTGTATCTAAATATATCCAGAATCTTGCCACTTCTCACCACTGTCACTGCTGTCATTCTGGTCTAAGCCATTATCATGTCTTACCTAAAATAATGCAAGAGACTTGTAATTGGTATCCCTGCACCCCTGCACCCTTTCTCTCATAGTCTATTCTCAGCACAATAGCCATAGTGGTCCCTTTAAAACTGAAAATCAGATCATATAACTCCTCTTCTCAAAACCATCTAATAGCTCTGTATATTGTTAAGAGTAAAATGCACAGTCCTTGTAATAGCCTACCTAACCTGGCAACCACTCCCCAACCTCCTCTACCATATCATTTCTATGACTTCATCTCATACTACTCTCCCCCTAAATCACTTTGCTCCTGTCACTTGGCTCTCCTCAAACACAGCCGACATGAACCTGTCTCAGGAACACTGTACTACAGTTTGCTCTACTTGAAAAGCTCTTCATTTAGGTATCTGCATGGCTAGACCCCTCACATGCTTGTCTTTGCCCAACTATCACTTTCTTAGTGTGACTTTCCCTGATCATGGTATTTAAAATTGCAACACCCTGTTTCTCCTAGCTTCCCTATCTCCCCTTCCAGCCTTATCTCTCTACATATTACTTATCACCTTCTAATTTACTTTTTAATTATGTTTATTGTCTGTCTCTCATCTCTAGAGAGTAAGTTCCCCCAGGCAGTGAATTAGTGACAGTCCCAACAGGAAATAGATGATGTACTTAAGATATGGTAGTTAGAGGAAGATTTATTTACAAAGGGACTATTTACTAAACTGTAGGTGTAAGGGAACTCAAGTGGATGGTAGCAAAGGAGTTGATGCCACCCCTGACCTGGGGAGGGGAGGGAGGCTCTTCCCCAAACGGAAAGAAAGAACTGCACAGAGGGTGCTTTGAGAGAAACTTTGAGAGACACTGCCAGCCTGAGGTAACCTCTCAAGTATAGAGCCAGGATATAAGTACCTGCCTTCACTCTCCTCCCTCCTTTTGCTCTCCGGCCAGGGTCCCCCATTGGCTGAACCGGCCAAAAGTCAGAGGGTACAGGAGGCACTTGAGCTGGTTCACACAGGCCGCTCTTTCCAGAGAAGGCTGAGAGCAGGGTCAAGATGGACTGAGAGTGAATCTAAAATGACAAACAGAAGATGAGGCAGACATTTTTGCTACTTTGTTTCATGGCTGTATCCCACGTACATAGGTTTACAATGAGTGTCTAGGTTTCCATCTGTAAAAGAGGGAAATGATCAATCATATCAACTTTTACTGCGAGGACAAGAACTGACCTCTAGATTCACCAAGTGGAGGTCACTAGTAACTGGGATAAAAAGGTTTCAGTTAAGTGGTTTGGATTAAATCTGGACTAGTGTCTACAAGAAAGAATGGGGAGAGAAGTGGAGGAACTAAGGACAGAAATTTCCTAGAACAAAGACAAGCAGAGAAATGGTGCTGAAGCTCGAGGGCAGGAGGGGTTTCAAGAAAGTTTTTTTTTTTAAAGATGGGAGATATTTTAGAATGCTAAATGCTATTGAAAACAATCTAGTGGAGAGAGGGAAAAGACATTTGGCAGAGAAGAGGGACAACTGTAGGAGCAAAGTCCTTGATTCCAATATACAGTTGACACTTAACCAACACAGGGGTTGGTGTGCCGACCTCCCGCACAGTCGAAAATCAGGGTAGAACTTCTGACTCCCCCAAAACTTAAGTTGCTCCCCAGTCTCTGCAGGGTATTGGTTCTAGGACCTCTCCTGCAGATGAGAGAATCCGTGGATGCTCAAGTCTCCTATGTAAAATGGCGTAGATGAATGCAAAAAGCCAGCCCTCCACCTCCACAGACTTCTAACTAGGATCAAAAACAGTACAGGTACTTATTGAAAAAATCATGTGTAAGTGACCTTCAGAGTTAGAACCTATGTTGTTCAAGGGTCAACTGTATAGTAACTTAGGATATGCTCAAAATCACTTTACCTATAATCAGAAAAAGGATGGGCTGTTCAATAAGTGACGCTGAGGCCAGCTGTTTTCCCATAAAAAAAGAAAGATAAAATTATATCCCTCCCTCACTTCATAAACAAAAATAAATTCTGGATGGTGTAAAGGCCCGAACACAAAAAGCAAAACTTCAATGTTTGACACTTTTTAAAAATAATTAGGATTTCTTTATTCCACATGATCCTAGCTAATTTTGATATTTTATTCATCTATCTTCAGAAGATGATTTAAAAATGTTTTTATAGGAATACAAAGATACTCTCTATCTCTAAAAAGAAACTGTATTATTATTTGTTAGCTACGGAAATAATTCCAGTGTTTTAGGAAACAAAGACCACCCTCTGTGCAGAGCTAGCACACACTGTGACATTTTGAACAATTTGAAGTTTTTGAGACTAAATATCAATTTAATCTAATAATTTTAATGTAATAGTTCCATTTCACATGAGAAGAAAACCCACCCACTTGTCAAAACACTGCATTCTCAAGTAGTTATGGTAATACCAAAATACTCATCAAGGTCAAAGAAAAGTGAGTATGATATACCTCCCTAATCATTTATTTCACTTTATAAAGTTTGATTTTTCCATGAAAATGAAATATCTAATGTTCTTTATAAATACTTAATTATGGTCTGCAGTTTTCAGAGATGTCCTTTTAACACGAAATTTAATTATATAACTATGCTTTAATTCACTCATTTTCAATATGCCAGTTCAGAGAGAAATATCTGCATATCCAGGATTTTTGCCAGTTATATATTTTAGAATTAAAAATTACAAAGACTCAATTTTTTCCTAGAAAATTCACTGCTTCTGAGTTGGTGTATCACAATATGGCACATTTTCTATAAGAAGGTCTTTCCTAGGGACCAATTCTGAAAGAAAAATAAAAAGAGAATAATTAACATCATTAAAATTAAAATTAGATATAAATTCATTCATTTCCCCCTAAAATTTCTAACAGTAAATTATGGAGTTTTAAGGTAAATCTTCCTGGGATATTTTATTTTAGTTAACTCCTGAGGTAGAGTCCCTGATTTTATGTGGAGACAGTAGGATTCTTATTTCATATATAAAAACATATATGACCAACTTAACCTTTTGCCATTTGTTTATTAAATATAACTAGTTAAATAACTGGACAGAATTCAGCTAAAGCACATTATTAGCCATCTGATTATAAATTACTGATAATTAAAACTATCAACTGGAAATGTTTTTATATTAGCAACTATATCAAAAGTAAGACTGCTTTCCTAATTTAAAGATTCCAAATTTTACAGAACAGTAGCTCCCTACTGGGGGTGTTTTGGCTGGTCACACCAACTAAAGAATGTTACTGGAATTTAGTGGGCAGGAGCCAGGGATGCGTGGGACAGTCTGATGCAGTGAAGAACTATCCTGTTCAAAATGCCAATAGTGGCCCATTGAGAAACATAGTTAAACAACAACAATAAAACGATAAATGTTGATTCCTAGTTTGGATGTCTTGCCAGAGTCAATTGAGAGGCAAGGATCTTAGGATACAAAAATTTGAGGAGATACATGATTTCTCCTTTTTTCCCTCTAGAAAAGCTGAATCCAAGTGAACTATCAATATCAAAAAATGTTCACACCACATTCTACGAAATAACTTGCCTACATTCTTCAAAAATATCCTAGTCATGAAAGATGAAGAAAGACTGAGGAACTGCTCCAGATTGAGAAAAACTAAGAAAAAAACATAATGACCAAATGCCATTTGTGTGATACTCAATTGGATCCCAGAGAGAATTCCTTTTTCAATTTCCAGAGGGCAAATCTTTTTTCTGCTGCTATAAAGGACATTGTTAGGACAAATGGAAAAAATATGAATAACAGAAATGTATCAATGTTAATATCCTGCTTTTGATAATTATACTGTGGTTACATAAGATAATGTCCTTGTAAATTCAGGAAATACACACAGGAGTATTTTTGAGAAATACACTCTAAAGTAGTTCTCCAAATCTAAACCCAAGTGGGCTATCATAATTTTTAAAAATGCTCTTTTAGGGGAAAGAGGCATTATGTCTGCAATTTACCCTCAGAAAGGTCAGGAAAAAAATAAGAAAAGATGATAAAGCAAATGTGGTAAAAGTGTTAGCATTTGTGGAATCTGGATAAATGAAATTCCCATATCCTTCCTTCCATTTTTCTGGCATCTCTTCCATAAATTTGAATTATTAAATTTTTTTTAAAGACATCAGTAAACTAATTCAATTCAGAAGAAAAATAGAAATTATCACTTAATAAGAAATAATTGAGCTGATTAAAAATAATGCTCTTATAACACAGATGGTAAACCTGGTTTACTGAAATGAAAAACGGTTAAATAAATATTATTTAACCATTGCTTTTATCTCACCTGCTTTTATCAAATCTTCGGAGGTTTCACCAAATTAGAGTTGAGGTTTTAACTTATTAGCAATGGCAGTAAATTGATCCACTTACCAAACATGTATGTGTCTATTTTATGCTGGACATTGCATCAAGAAATGAAGATAAAGAGGTAAACATAACAGTCTCTTCAGTAGATCATGGTGACTATAGTTCATAATACTGTATTGCATGTTTACAAGTCGCTAAGAGAACAGATCTTAAAAGTCCTCATCACGAAAAAAAATTTGTAACTATGTATGGGGAGAGAGAATAACTACTTAATGTGGTGATCATTTCATAATATATACAAATATCAAATCATTATATTGTACATGTGAAACTAATATGATACCATATGTCAATTTTGCCTCAATAAAAAAAAGTCTCTTCAGCTTCAGAAAAGTTCACAATTTAGGGAAAAGACAGATATATAAACCAAAAGTCCAACAAATGGTGGTTTAAATGAATAAGAGATTTAATTTTGTCACATATCAAGAAATACAGATTGCCGCAGTCCCGGGCTACTGAAGATCTGTACCACCACTAAGGACCCAGGCGCTTTTCTTCCTGCTCTGCTACCCTTAGTGTGTGTTTTTTGTCCTCATTGCTGCTGTCCCATCACGTCTGCCCTCAAGCAGGCAGGAAGAGAG